TTTTTTACTTCATTGATTTCTCAACGTCGTATACAAAAACAAACTACAATTCAATAAACGAACCATTTATGACCTAAAGTATAAAAAAATTACTAATGCGAATTATAACGTACGATAAATTATAAAAATTTTTAAATTAATCATTTTAGCATTTACGACGTTTTACATACACACACGCACACACACACACACACATACACGCACACATAAAAAAGTATGTATTTATATTAAAACAATTAATATCTGTCGTTTTAAATCTATAAATAAAACCAAAAGTTCGAAAAACCGGAAATTCATCTTGCGATAATAAAATAAAAAAAAAATATTTTAACCACAAATTTTATTTCAACAATTATTATTATTATTATTATTACAATAAGAAATGTTTATTTTCGATTAAATAGTTATATTAGAGAATAAATTGAAAAAAAAAATGAATTGTAAAATTATTTTATTCACGATTTATATTAAATTATTATTTATTTATTGTTATTCAGATAATTTAAATTGTGAAAGTAAAAGAAGTTGCAGTGAATGCATACAAACAAATTTTTGTGCTTGGTGTTCTAAGGTTATTAAAAATCCTCATTAATTTTTTTTTTTTTTTTACAAATAAAAATTTTAGGATTTTTTGATTTTTCTAGATAAAAAACGAAACGGAAATATCGAAACTTTCGGGTTGTTTTCCCGATGAGAAAATTTTTAACATATGCGAAAAATTATTCGTGGAAGATCCGATATCGAGAATAAAAGTCATATCGAGTAAACCTATGAAAACCGGTAAAAAGGGAAATTCGATACAAATACGACCGCAAGAAATATCAGCCAATCTTAGAATAGGTAAAAATATAAAATTTAAATTTTAAATTTATACAATTTGAAAGTTAAAAAAATTTTTGGGTAAATTTCAGGTGAAGAAATAACGATTGATATTGAATTTAAAAAAGCAGAAGATTATCCGGTGGATTTATATTATTTAATGGATTTTTCAAGTTCGATGTACAAATATAAAAAAAATCTATCGAAACTTGGTAATAAATTAACGGAAACAATGAAAAATTTAACAAGCAATTTTCAATTGGGTTTCGGTAGTTTTGTTGATAAAGTAACATTACCCTACACCAGTACGCTCCCATCTCAGTAAGTTTATTTACTCTATGACTATTTTTTTGTAATCAAACAATTTTGCTTTTTAAAGAGATATTATTATCGGTTTCATTCGCGATATTAAATTTAATATCTGATAATTAAAACAATCGATTGTCATTATTTTTATTACGTAATCGTACCTTAGATTGCATGTCGCGTTATACGTCCTTGAACTTTTTTCCACCATTGTTCACCATTTTCATTTTAAAAAGAAAATTTTTTTTTTTTATTATTATATATAATTAATGCTATGACAATAAAAATAAATGTTGTCAAAAAGACGAATTGAATTATTTTTTTAATTTATAATTGACAATTCATAATGAGGTTATTGAATTTTACAAAAGCCCAAACCCAAAAATTTTTTAAATTTAATAATAATTATAATAATGGTTAATTATATTATTTTTATAACGCGGCAAGTTTATCAAATGCATAACCGTGATGGTGCAGTTATTGATAATAATAATAATAAACGTCCTATTATATTATATTATTTAATATTGGGATGAGTTTGTAATATTTTATAAATAATTATTTTTAATTTTTACTTTGACTAAAAAAATTACGTTATGGAAAAAAGTTCAAGGATTCAATTGAATTTAATTAAGGTAAAAAATAAAATATTTATAAAATGGATGACGTTTATGATAATTTAACCTAATTTTTTTTTTTTAATTTTAGTTTGCAACGTCCGTGCCCAAAATGTAGATCCCCTTATTCGTATAAAAATCATATGTCACTCACTGAAGAAACTGGTAAATTTGCGGTATGTTATTTTCGTACGATTTAAATATAATAATTAAACGGTACTTACGATTTATAATTAATCAACTTAGGTCGAAGTTGACAAAGCACAAATGTCTGGAAACATAGATACACCGGAGGGTGTATTCGATGGGTTGATGCAATCAATGGTTTGTCGAGAACAATTAAATTGGAGAGAAAAAGCTAGACACATAATAGTGGTGTCGACTGATGCACCTTTTCATTTGGCTGGAGATGGTAAGGTAATGGTTCTAACAAAAAAAAAAAAGAAATTTAAAATAAATTAATTCGATGAAAGCCAAAATTAAATAAATGAATAAAATTGATTAATTTTTTTTTGACAGTTGGGTGGAATTGTAGAGCCTCACGATGAAAAATGTCACTTGAATGAAAATGGCGATTATACTCATTCTTTGGTATACGATTATCCCTCGGTTTCGCAGGTATATTTTTTTTTTTTTTAAATTTTATTAAATAAAAATAAGATTTTATTAAATAAAATTTTATCAGTAGATAAATTTTCAAGCCTCTGAAAACAATATGAATATTATATTTGCGGTGGCGAATAAAATAAGACACGAATATAATTCATTGTCTCAAGAAATAAGAGGAGCATCAATTGGTTTATTAGATTCTGGTGAAAATATTGCTGATCTCATTAAAGCCCAATACGAAGTAGGTCATAAAAATTTTTTTCGCACTTTTCCCACGTTGTTTGTTTGCAACAAAAGCAAAACAACAATTTCATATTTATGTACAAGTTTCTAAAATAAACTTTTAATATTTTTTAGAAAATCTCGACCACGATTCAACTATTTGATAATTCAGAAGGTTCAGTTAATGTTAGTTATTCGTCAAGATGTTCAGAAAAAGAAAAATGGAAAAATTCAAACAAGTGTACAAATGTTAAAGGAAGTGAAATTATTTATTTTAAAATTCATTTAACGGTTATTATTAAATTATTATTATTTTTTTTTTGATATTGTTTAATTTTGAATTAATTTTTAATTTGAAAGAAAAAATTAGATTTTAGATTGTTTTGATAAAAATCATCCAACTCAAGATATTACAATAAAAGCAGAAGGAATAAATGAAACATTAACGATACATTTGGGAAGCATATGTAACTGTGAATGCTCAAATACTGATCACGCAGTAAGGCAATTTATTTATAAAAAATATAATAATAATAATAAATATAATGATAATAAACTTCGTGTTTTAAAGGGTACCGAAATAAATTCTCCTCTTTGCTCTTTGTCTGGTAATCTCACATGTGGACAATGCTTATGCAATTCGGGAAAAATAGGAGAAAAATGCGAATGTAGCGATAATGACGGGCGAATGTTATATGCAAACGATACAACCAGTTGCAAAACAAACAGCCAGACAAATGAAATTTGTTCCGGAAGAGGAATTTGTAAGTGTGGAGTGTGCGAATGCTTTACTAGAAACGATCCAAATGAAAAAATAAGTGGAAAATTTTGCGAGTGTGATAATTTCTCTTGTGAAAGAGTTGATGAATCATTATGTTCGGGTCACGGTACATGCAAATGTGGTAAATGTGCATGTAATAAAGGATGGTCTGGAAAAAAATGTGAATGTTCTTTAGATGAAAAAGAATGCATGAGCGATGAAAACGATTTGGTGTGTTCCGGTAAAGGGAATTGTGTGTGTGGGAAATGCCACTGTCATAATGGTACTGATACAGATGACCATAGATATTCTGGAAAATACTGTCAAAACTGTATGGTTAGTATAAATAAGGTAAGTCACGTTTAAAAAAGTATAAAATTTTTCAGATAATGCAATTTTAATTTTTTAGACTTGCGCCGAACAATGCGATAGGTACAATGATTGTGTTGAATGTTTAACATTAGCCACTGGACCTTTAACAAAACATAATTGTAGTATTTGTTTAAAAAAATATCAATTAAAAATTAATATTGTGGAAGACTTAGAAGGTTACAAATATTTATAACGATTATTTTTAATAAATTTTATTCCAGAACTGTTAATTAATTTAAAAAAATTTTTTTTTAGAATTTCAAAAAAATGCAACAGAAAAATTATGTACAAGTTTAAATAATTTAGGTTGTGCGTTTGTTTATATCTATGATTTGAAAGAAAATAATGACATAATAATATGGACTGATAAAAAAATTATATGCTCAAAAAAAGTCAATTTAATAGGTAATAAATACAATTAATAAATATCAATAACTCATTTCTTTGCCAGTAATACTTTATATTTTTTTTGTTAATGTTTTAGCTGTGATAGCAGGCACCATGGGTGGTACAATTATTTTAGGTCTCTTATGCTTAATTATATGGAAAATAGTCATAGATTTCTATGATAAAAGAGAATATGAAAAATTTGAAAGAGAAAAGCATTTGGCACAATGGGGAAAAGTAAGTTTTATAAGAATAATGACATTAATAAAACAAAGTTTTAACTAATGATAAAATTTTTATAGGGTGAAAATCCATTGTTTAAAACACCAACCAAAAGATATGAAAATCCAACATACAGAGGTTTGAAATTACAGGCCCAGGTAATGTTATTATTGTTTCACAATATATTTTTTATTTTTTAAAACGTATTTTTTTATAACTAATTTGTACATTTTTTTCAGTCCAGTGATTAATTGTGGAATTTTATAATTTGCAATTCATAATCAAAATTTGTGAAACCTAGTATTAATTGGAAGCCATTAATAAACATATTTCAACTAAGTTGTGAGGGTTTATTATCTTCAATATACATTTTTATAATTAAACACGTGTTATTACACGTTATTATTAATTTTACAATAAAAAATTAAATATTTTCTAATAAAAATTTTCTAATAAATTAGAGTTGTAAAAAAATTTTTGTATAGAACAGTCAAGAAGGGTTAATGAACTTACAAAATTAATGAAATAAAGTGCTTATTACGATTTAAGTATTTAAAAAATATTAATAAACTTACATCATGTCTTTTTTTTTTAATTGTAAAAGTTTAAAAACACAAAAAAATATCTTCTTTCACTACTCAATCCACAAAAAAATTTCCTTTAAGTTTGAAACTGACCGTTACAAACATTACAAAGTAAAAATTTATTCATCTCTATGACTTTGCAGAACACATAGAGAAAAATTTTAAAATTATATAGAATTAATTTCTGACATTACTTTAAATGGATTCGTTTTATTAAAATTGTTTAAAGTATTTTGTTGTGATTTGACGAAAATTATTTTAATTCTTAATTAAAATTTTTTTTACTTTTTACTTCTTTTTGGTTAAATACACATGCTTACATTTTTTAATTTCTTTTTTGAATTGATTATTTTTCATTACAACCCTATGCTTTACATATGATAATTGATCAAATTTGTTTTTTTTTTTTATCTAAATTTTTAAAACGTTTCACATGTTTGAGTAAGGTTATTTTAGCAAATTAAATATGAATTTGCCAAAATACCACGATGTCATTAATTTATTAGTTCAAATTCCTGAATCAATAGGTAATAATTATTTATTTTTTATGTTTAATGTTACTTATAATAAGTATGATAATAAATATCATTTAATATAACATATGTAGTTTCAGAATGCAAAGACAAGTGTTTGTATCAGTTAAAAAAAAATGTAGAAGAAGCCATTGAAGTTTTGGCAGATATAAATGAACTTCACCCTCAACTGGAAAATACTAATAAAATCACATGCAAATTTGTTTTAATAAGTTTGCATGCATTAAAGAAACTTTCAGAATATTGTAATTACGACTCACCTTCTAATTTATTAAGTATTCAACAACAACAAAAAATTAAAATTTTACTACAGATGGTATTTTCTTTAGGATTAACTCCTTTTTTACTTAAAGGTGTAAATACTCCTTTAAAAAATAAAACATTTCAACTTCGTTTGCTAAATCTCGAGGAATTGTCTTTAATAGAGGTAAAATATGTGTTTCATTCAGCTTTTAAATTTTTCATAAGCACACGAGATTTAAAAATTTTTTTTCTAATATTTATATATTATTTGAAATTTTATATTGCAGTCTTATGAATTGATGACAGAAGTAGTCAGGTCACTTATTCACATACTTTCAACTCCATGTTTAAGAGCTTTAATTCTTGGACATTTGGGAGATCTAATGTCTGCTTTACTTCAAGTTAACTATGCTGGAAAATTAAAAAAACCGATGGAAAATTCATTACCGGAGAACAACAGTGAAACGAGTAAAACATTTGTTATGACCGAAAAATGGTATGAGCGCTTATTAAAAGACAGAAATGATTTTACAGTTATGTATCATAAATTAGTTGATAATATTTACAAACCTTTAGTTATAAAAGAGTTGCTAATATTATTATCTCCTACGAAAAGCATTGAAAACGATGAAGTGATTCTTCCACCACCATGGCTAAGAAATGCTGTATCAAAAAAATTAACAGAATATTTAGTTAGTTCCGGTGGAGTTTTTCTTGTTATGAGGGCTATGTGCGAATCTACATCGGATAATATTAATTGGAAAAAAGTGGAAATTTTAGCAAAGTTGATATCAACTGTTCACGATAATTATTCTGAAGAAAAATATTATTCTACTGTCGGTCCTCAAATAATATCGTTATTAGGCACTACTGGTGCATATTGTATTCCGGTTGCAAAATATTGTATAAAAAATATTTATCAGCACAATGCAGACATAGCAAACAAATACATTTTTGACAGACTATTTGAAATGTTTATCATATGTTCCAAACCGGTTTCAGAAAATTTTAGCGGAACATTAGTCAGTGAGGATTCATCATCTAGATGTATCGAGTATTTAACAAAATGTTTTTCTCCTGGAGTAACTGAATCATCAGTTCCTATGTCAATATTGACCAGAATAATTAAAATTATGTACAAATTATATATGAAAATATCGAAAAGTGCTTACCATCATAAATCTGCTATACAAGATTTATTAATTGAATTTTTGAATTCTGAAAAAGATTTAACAAAATTAAAAGCAATTTATGATTCTCTTATTTTTGGAGAACCTCACAAAGACATGCTCGAAATGAACAGAGATTTGGAATTTCAATTTGGACCCATGGGAGGCATTCAAGTTGGTAAAATTCAAAATGAAGAAATATCGAATAGTGTTTCAGGTTTAGAAATACAATTAGAATTCGAAGCTGCTGGCGATTACATTTTAGACTTATTAAGTAGTCGATCTGACGTGTCGAGAAGTTTATTGACAAATTTATTTACATTACTTTTATCTGCTTTAACAAATTTTTATGATTCTAAAATTGACATGCCATGTGATTTGAATCATGATTTTTTAAGCGTTGATGAATTGTTAGTTTTTTTAGTTAAAGTCGCTCAAAAAAAAATTATAACCGTCAAATTATTAGCAGTATTAGCTGAAAACGTGCAAGTTATGGAATCGATTCAAGAAAAACCGGAAACGGTTTTTAATTTTGTTAAAAATTTACTGGAAGTAAAAGCCAAAGACATCGTGAGGGAAAACGAAATGCTCGCGATAAAAAAAGATGAATGCGATGATGAGGATCCTTCAAAGGAAAATGTGGAAGATATTTTCGTCGCTTTGGCAGTTATAGACATAATGACGGTAAATGTAAAAACTAATTCTGATCGTTGGGACAAGTGTAAGAGTTTTTTGAATCCATTAGAAATAATAAAAACTAATTGCAAAGATGTACAAGTTCAGTACCTGGCCGATATATTATATAATCGTATATGCACTCACGGAGCCGTTTCAGGTTCGAAAAAACCACAAATTCGACCGTTCAAAGATGGGAAAAAAATGAAAATGACGAATGGGAAAAAAAATTCGAAAAGTACCAACGTGTTCGTGAATGGGAATGAAGAAAAATCAAATACCAAAGAAGAAGAACGGGAAAAAAAGGATAGGAAACTCATTGTGGAAATGGATGCGCCCACGGAAGATGAGTGCGAATTTAATAAAATATACGAAGACATTCGTTCCGTTGATGTTCCCACACGTGGTCACGCGATACTCGAGCTTAATAAATTAATTAAAAATAGAAATCCGCACGTTTTATCGAAGAAAGAATATATTTTTTCGGTATTGAAGTGTAATTTGAAACACGAGGACACTTACATATATTTATCGGCCATTAACGCTTTGGAAACATTGGGATACGTTCAAAAACCTGGGGAAATATTCGAAATACTCTGTGAGGAATACACCGTGTACAAAAAAGATTCTAGCGAAGTTCAATTGAAAATAGGAGAAGTTTTAATGAGGTTGACACGAGGACTCGGAGAAGTAGGACCGAAATACAAGGATTTATTGATCAATACATTTTTATTCGGTACAAAAAGTCCGGACGAAATTTTGAGAGCTTCTAGTCTATCTAATCTCGGAGAACTTTTAAAAATAATGGGCTATTGCGTCAGTAGCGTGATACAAGAAGTAAGTTGTTGAAAAAAAAAAAAAAAAAAATAGGATTTTAATCGAACGAGTCGATATAATTATTAATTGTTTCTCCATATGTATTATAAAAACAGGTTTTCATGTGCACGAAATGCATAGCCAGCACAGACAAATCAGACACGGTTAGAAGAGCGGCTGTTATGGTCATAGAATTTTTACTGCAAGGAGTTACGGGAAATTCATTTATGGTAAGTTATCATCACAAATCGTTTTCCGATCTTTCCTTCCTTGATTTTAAATCATCTCATACTTTTTTTTTTTTTTTTTGCTTCTTCAGGTTCTCGAAGGCGTTATCCGAGATTTGTACAGGACTCTTCTTCACATATACAAAACGGATAAGGATGACGTAACGAAATTACACGCGGAACTCGCATTGGCCGAAATCAATCGTCTCGTCAATTTATCCGTAAATAGAGAATTGAAATTAGAAAAACAAATCGGAATATTAAATCTCAATTCCTAGTTTGAGGTGGTAGTAGTAGTAGTAGTGGTAGTGGTAGTAGCAGGAGAAGGAGTAGTAGAGCGAAAAAAATTTTTTTTTCTTTTTTCTCGAGGGCAGGGTAATGAAAAAAATTTAGCAGACCATTTTTTTTTTTTTTTTTTTTTTCAAATAATTTTCAATTGACCGTTGTAAATTCCAATAGATTACACGACTTGATGATAATTTATATTGTTTAATTTATCGTTTAAAATTACTCTTTAGCACTCTTTACGTTTTTTTTTTTCTTTTTACCTTGACTTTTTTTAAAATAATTATAATCGTCGTTACCATTTATTTAAATTTATGATTCTATAAAAAATTTTATATATATATATATAAATACATCTATATATGCATACATTTATATATTTAATTTTAATTTTTTTTATTTTAACATCTTTATTAAGAAATCGGGATTATTTTCAAATTTTCTTTTATTTTTATATAGCGACTAATTTTTGTTTAGTGACCGGGTTTAGTTTTTCAAATCATCGCGTAAACGTTAAAATGATGCAGATTATGCATAATAATAATAATTTTTTTATCATTTAAAAAAAAAATTACATCAAATTGTATTAAAAAAAAAAAAAAAGGAAAAAGTTTTTCGAATAGTTTTCAAGTTTTAAATTTAAAAACGCATCGCAATAAGAATAAAAAAAAAAAGCAACTACTTGCATCACTTTTATGTATGTCAAATAATCTAAATCAAAATTTTGAAGGCGTTAATTAAAAACCTATCACACGATAATGAAAAATTTTAATTATTTTATTTACCAAAAAAAATTTATTAAAATAATTAATGGAAATTAAATTGAGGATAGATAAAAAAATAAAAAAAAACAAAACATTTCACAATTATTCTGTTTAAAGGACGGAAACATTTATTAATTAAAATTTAATTAATAATTAATTAATTTTTATTTTTGATTAATTTGTCAGTTGATATATATATAAAAAATTTTTTATTTTACGATTAATTATTAAATTTTAATAATGAATAAAATGACGAATTATTAAATTATTTTTTCGGTGATTAATCATTGGTATCATTTATATTTTGTTAACAAAACGTAAACAAAAAAAATTTCAAATGGTTAGGCAATCGCCCAAAAAACGGTCAATAATAATAATAATTATTATTTTTGTGGGGGAATGCGAAAAGTCGAAATGATTATAATAAAAATCATTTAAATATTTTCCTAATTACTTTTGATATCATTTGATAAGAGTTCGTTATAATTTTTGTACAAATACTTTAACGGGTACATAAATACCTAACTATTTAAGGTATTAATTGATGATGGTGTTTTAATTATTATTAAATATTTTAAATTTTCAATGTATTATTTTGAATGTAAATAAAAAAATGACAGGAAGTTTATTTTTTTATTTTTTTTTTTAAATTCGTGAAGGATAAAGAAAAAAAATGACAAGCAATTTTTTTTTGATAGGTTTATAATTTTTAATTCGTTTAATAATAATAATAATGATGATGATGTAATATTTTTTTATGATGATGTGATAACAATGAGATGCCGTAAAACGCATTTATTTATTATTATCATCATCATCATCATTGATGAATTATTTTGACAGTCGAATGCCAAAAATAACGGCTTCCAACGACACGTTTGATTTGAATTTAATTACATCCTTTTACTTTTACATACCTGCCCCTCCTCATCGTTCCCCTCCTCCGCCTCGTCGCTCGTCCCCCTAAACCCCTCCTTCCCGCCTTTTTCCGAAAAAATCAAAAATTTAAACGAACGTTCATATTTTATAAAAAACTTTTGAAAGATTTTCATAAATAAAAAATTTATTCGAGTGACTGAATGAGTGATTGACTGATCGATCGAATCTATTTTCATTCATTTATTTTACGGTTATCAATACGATTATAATAATAATTATTATTATTATTTATTGTTAAAAACGTTTATTTAAAATTTTGCTTTAATTTTTTTTGCTCACAGTCTTTAAAATTTTTTTTTTTTTTTGTAAATGGCATCTACAAAGTTTTTTTCATTAACCCAATGACGTACATTCAGGGTCAGTCGTCGCCTCTCTCGTAATTTTTTTTTTATTTTTATAATAATAATAATTATCATTATCATTATCATCATCATCATTAAGGGAAAACCAAACACTCGTAGAAATTTAAAAACAAAAAAAACATTTTTCTTTTTTAATTTCACGTTATCAACATTAAGTTTTTTAAAAAAAAAAAAATAAAGGTGAAAAAAAAAATTTATCGATTAATAAATTTATGGAAAATTAGACTTTAATAAGTTATTAAAGTTATTTAAAATAATAATAATAATAATATAAAAATTAATAATGTATGTATATATATATATATATTTTTTTTTTATTATTTGTTTTAATCAGGTAAATTATATTACAAATTTTTTAATTAGGTTAATTTCTCCTCCTCTCGGTGGAGAAAACAAAACAAATAATAATAATAATAATAATAATAATTATTATTATTATTATTATCGTTAATAATTTTAACGTTTACAATTTTCCAAAATAAATTTTTAAAAAAATTAGAGTGATTTTAATAAAAAAAAAAAAAATTCGGGAAAGGGGGAAAAAAAAAATAATCCGCACAAAATTTTTTTAAGGTTGTTATTATTATTATTAAGTTGTAAATGACGTCATCAATCATTTCCGGTTATCGTATCAATTACGTTGACCTCATTTAATTTTTTTTAATATCATTGTAACATACACATATATTATATTAAAGGGTAGAAAAAAAAAAACAGTAACAATAAAAAATTTTTTCTTTTAGTAATAAAAAAGAAGATGTTTTAGGGGTTGGTAGGGGGTGTGTAAGGAGCAAAATACTGGAGGTAAAAAAAGGTAGAATGCACGAGCGGGACATGGGGGGGGGGCAGTTGTTAGCTCACATAACAATTTTTTTTTTTGTTTGTTTAACTTGACAGTCTTTGTTTTAAAGAGTATACAATTTTTTTTATAGCGATCGCGTTTAACTTTGTTGTATTTTTTTTTTTTAGAAACTCTAGAAAAAATAATCTGGAATTGTTATTATTATTATTATTTTTGTTCCTGTTGGCATATTCAAAAAAATTTTTTAACTGATATTTTTGTTGTTGTCGTCGATATGAAGATGGAGATTGATTATATATAAAAATTTTGAATTATTCAACAAGGAGATCATCGCCGCATTCACTTATTTAAAAAAAAAAAAAAAAAATTTAAAATTTAAAATTTTGGAGGAATGTAAGCGTTTGGCGATTGACTGCCACCACCCGATGGGAATTGACCACTTCCGGAACCGGATGGAAACAAACCAGCTCCAGCACCACCTGGATATGTCGGTTGTCCTTGATACGATACTTCAGCGTTGTAACCGTTTTTCCAATCGGCCGTGTATTTGACAATTTGAAGTCTGCCATCTGGCAATTGTACGCGGTATTCTCCTCTTATGACGTCACCATCCGATGCCTGAAAACAAAAAAAAAATTTTTTTTAATCCTCATCATCCAGGAAAAGTTTGTTTTTCATTCAGACATTTAAAAAAATTTTAAAAGTTCGCACAAAGACGTGGAAATAAAAAAAAAAAAAAAAAATTTCCAAAGGCGATCATTTATTTCAAAGGTTTTAAATGTGAACCAAAATACAAATAACAACAGAATTAAATAGTTTCAAGGTCATTTAAGTCTACTGCCACTTATTTCTCTTATGCCACGCTGACTGATCGATTGATTTCATTTATTAGGTTAACATTTACGTTATTGCAATGTGTGAGAGAATTTAAAAAAAAAAAAAAATTTGTTTTTATTATTTATTATTTGTTTTTGTGTTTGTTTAAATTGTTTTGTTAATTCTTTACGAGTTTGTTTTGATTATAAGTTGTTTAAAAAACGGGTACTTATGGACAAACGGGTAGCAATAAAAAAAAAAAGAGAGAAAAAATTGTAAATTTTCTTAATTGAATCCATATGATCGTTCGTCTCTCTCTCTCACTTCCGTTTTCGACGAAAACATTTGGTCAACGAAACAAAATTTGACAACCAACAAACAGGTAATATTTTTCCGTTTGTTCTTTTTTATTTTTTATTTTTATTTTATTTTTAATCGTAACACGTCAATATACCAAAAAAAAAAAAAATTCCCTTTTTATTGACTTCGAAAAAATTTGACATTTAAAATAAAAAAAATCGATAATAATAATAATATAACTACTTTGATACTCGGTGAGGTCAAAAGTTGAAAATTGAAATATTACAAGTACTAATAATAATAATAATAATAATAAGAATTTTTTCTCGCTTGCTTTACGTAAATGTGTAAAAACATTTTAAATAATAAATTATAATTAATTCGTGATATCAACTTCTGGTTGTTGTTGTTGTTGTTGTTTTTAAACACAACAACAACAAAAAATTATTTTTTTGCACTTTTTTGACCTTTTTTGGCAGCATAAAAAAAAAAATTTATTAAATTTAATATTAAGGCCAATTTTTACCACATTACGAAAAAAAAAAGAAAAACCTTGAAGTATACAATGTCGTGGTGGAATTTTATTTAAAAAAAAAAAATTTTAATGCAATTTTTTTTTTTTTTGTTAACGTTGAGGAAAACGTAACGTGAGTGATGGGTGAGTTATGGAAAAGTGTTAATTTTATATTCAAAAAAAAAAAAAATTTTATGCAATATTTTTTTTCTTTTTATATAAATTATAACTTGTATAAAATATATTACGGTAATTTTATATTAATACTTATAAATCCTAATTATAATTATAATAATAATAATAATGAGAATGAAGATAACGACGTGCACGTCGTGTTTTTACAAAAAAAAAAAAGGGGGGGAAAAAAAATTTTTAAATGGTTGTATGACCTTTTTTTTTATAAGAGAAAGGTAATAATTTGTAATATTCGAGAGGAAAACATTTTCCCGCGTGAAAAAGTTAAAAAAAAGGGGGGGAGGGGGGCAATGGTTGCAAAATGTTCTTCTTGACTTCAGGGTGTTTTTTTTTAAATCGACGGTGATGATAAGAAAAAAACCTTTTCGAATTTTTTCGTAATTCTTTTAAATATTATCGAATAGATAAAGAATTTGCTTACAATATTATTACAAACGACAAACAAGGAAACAACAACGAAACTACAACAACAAACACGAATTTCGTTTTCGTGAGTTTTAACGATAATTAAAAAAAAAAAAAATGACGGAATTAAGTAATATCGACGAGTTGATTTGTAATTTTTTTTTTTGAAATTTTCGTACGGGTACTCCGCAAACCTTAAACGAATAGTAATCGAGGAGGGGGGAGGGGGAGAAGGGATGAATAAAAAATTTACCAGAAAAAAAAAATTAAAAACTAGATTCGTTAAAATTAATTTTTTTTTTGTAACGATAATTATACGCTTTGCTGAAAATATAAGCAAATTATTTATAAATTAAATAAACGAATAATAATAGTAATAAACTTGAGGAGGTCACGGCTAACAAAAAATAAAAAAGAAGTTTAATGCCCACGAGAGAGAGAGAGAGAGAAAATCTGGTGTTAAAATAATAATAATAATAATAAGCGATCACGATTAAAACGTTAAAATTTTGCTGAATGACCGTGAACACACGCAAACTACAAATCAGTACAAACTACAAAATGTGTACACACACACACACACAAGGCGAAAAAAATTTTTTTTTTTTTTTTCACTTTCATATTAACCTAAACGCGTGACCTTAAAACTTGCCATACGTACGCGCACGCACACACACACACACACACACACACACACACACACACTACTTTTTTGTTTAGATGAATCGTGATAAAGGCTGACAAGGAAGGGAAAGGCAAAGGTGAATAAAAAGAAGAAGAAGTGTTGATTTTTTTTTTGTTGTTGTTGTTCAGGAGGCGACTTTTTATAAATGTTTTTTTTTTATTCCTACCGATTCTGGAATTTTCGACAATCTTTTTTATAAATAAATAATAACTACTCTCATCATGGGTGGGAACTTGATTTAAAAAAAAAAAAAATTCTCGTATTCACAAACACTTACCTCGTTTCTGTAGTAGTCGTTTCCATAGAAGTCGTCCTTTACCTTGTAGGCAAAGTCATAAGGCATTCCGGGTTCATGGTGGTGATGATGATCATGCTGTACAAAAAAATAAGTAATTATGTGTAAAATGTTTGTATGTAATTTACAAAATGTTTATTATTAACTTATTTATTTATTTTAAAAAATTATTACTACTTAAAAACTACAAAGTACTTTAAAATTGGTCAATGGTACAAAATGATGACGTTTTTCCCTTTAATAATAATAATAATAATTAAAATGGTTGTATACGTTACCTCTCCGCCACCGGATGGTCCGACAAATGTTCCTTGGTTTACTGATGGAGATGGACCCAAGTTTGGACCTGGTCTTACGTTCGAACTTGGCAAAGGTCTCGATACCGAAATAGGTCTCACGGTGCTCACGGGTGGAATGTAGCTAGGTGCGGGTGGTTGGTAAGTCGGCCTTACCGGAGATACTGGAGTTTGGTAAGTCGGTCTCACGGGGACTGATGTTTGAAAGGTAGGCCTCGATGGGAATGGAGTTTGATAGGAAGGAGTCGGCCTTGGAGATGGAAATGGTACGCTAGGTCTATCGTAGTGGTATCCTTTACTCGGGGGAAGGTATTGATTTTTTCCTACAATTTCGCTTACATCGGCTGAAGCGAGACACAGCAAACCTGCTGCGACCAAAAACTGTAAAAAAAAAAAACATTTTCATTTAACGTAACATTTACTTTGTAATCGCACACAACCAATCAACAGTCGCAAAATATTCCAGGGTGAAGTGTACTTTTTTTTTTCTCTCCGATTTTTTCAGGGGGCAACATGACTAACATGATGTCTTGTCACAGTCACGGTCGGTACTTTTAAAGTTCAACAAGAAGGCAAAAATTTTTTTTTTTTTTTTCTGATATTTTAAAATGATTGACAGGCTTTTTACACGTTTTGTGCTTCGTAATAACAAAACCTTCGATCGCGCCAAAATATTTTATATATTATCGTCAAAATAAATTTGTTTAAACAAAAGGCGTCGTTAAACAATCAAATTAACGCCGCCTTTAAATCTCTTTTATTTTTAATAAATTTATAAAAATTTAATTTAAAAAACCTGACCTAATTATTCATTTGTTTTAAAACTTATTTATGTTCCCACGTATGCACAAACACATAAAAATGTCCGCCGCCTTGAACTTTAATATAAAAACTATTTTTATTTTTAATTACAATTTTTTTTTTTTTTTTATTTTCCATTTAAACAACAACAAAAACAAACAATCTATTATTTATTTATTTATTTATTTATTTGCGTAAAAATTATTAAAAAAAAAAAAAAAACTCGAAAAATGCGGTTAATGTAACCGGTAAATTGACGACGATAACTTACTTGATCGGGTCAGTTTTTAAATCATGATTGGTGAAATCAGTGACGTAATTAGTAAAAAAAATTTTTTTTTTTTTTTTAAAATTTAAATTCTTGTTTGTTTATTTCCGCATTTTTTTCTTTTCTTTTTCCACGTCAAAAATCTTTTACGTTTATTTATTTATTATATATTTATAAATTTTTAATTTTTTTTTTTTGTTTCGCGAAAATTAAATTTTTTCTTTTTGTTGTCATTATGTAATTAATAATAATAATAATAATAATGATAATAATAATAATTAACCGTGGAATTAACGACGAGTTTTTTCATAATAAATCTCTCTTTCTTTCTCTCTGTTGCAAAACTATATCGACGAAATATATATAGAAAAATTTAATTTATTATTATCAATCCGTAGATTGATTTTTTATTTTTAGCGCCATTTTGATAACCGGCGCCATAATAATAATAA